AAGAAAATTCTCATAAAAGAAAGCATTTAACTGGGGGCTTTCTTACAGTTTCATCATGGCAGGGAGCCTGGCAGCAGGCAAGCAAGTGTGGTACTGGAGAAGTAGCTGAGAGCCAGTGGGGGCTGTTTTTATTGAAAATACCACATAGGGGTTTCTTTTTTGTTGTTGTTGTTGTTTATTTATTTATTTATTTAATTTTTTCGAGACAGGGTTTCTCTGAAGTTTTTGGTGTCTGTCCTGGAACTAGCTCTTGTAGACCAGGCTGGCCTCGAACTCACAGAGATCCGCCTGCCTCTGCCTCCTGAGTGCTGGGATTAAAGGCGTGCGCCACCACCACCTGGCTGTTGTTTATAAAGATTTCTGCCTCCTCCCCGCCACTGCCTCCCATTTCCCTCCCCCTCCTCCAATCAAGTCCCCCTTCCTCCTCAGCCCGAAGAGTAATCAGGGTTCCCTGCCCTGTGGGAAGTCCAAGGACCACCCACCTCCATCCAGGTCTAGTAAGGTGAGCATCCAAACTGCCTAGGCTCCCACAAAGCCAGTACGTGCAGTAGGATCAAAAACCCATTGCCATTGTTCTTGAGTTCTCAGTAGTCCTCATTGTCTACTATGTTCAGCGAGTCCGGTTTTATCCCAGGCTTTTTCAGACCCAGGCCAGCTGGCCTTGGTGAATTCCCGATAGAACATCCCCATTGTCTCAGTGTGTGGGTGCATCCCTCGTGGTCCTGAGTTCCTTGCTCGTGCTCTCTGTCCTTCTGCTCCTGATTTGGACCTTGAGATTTCAGTCCACATAGGGATTTCTAGAGTAATACGCCAAAAGCCTAGACTAAACCAGAAACGGGCTCTTGTGGCCATTTTTCATGTTGGGAATAAGTTATAAAAGGAATCCGGGGCTCGAGTGATAGCTATGCAGGTAAAGAATTGACTGTTCGACCAGAGCACCAGGGTGCAATTCGCAGAACCCACATTCGGCTGCAAGGAATCTGAAACTCCTGGTCTCTGTGAGCATGTTGACACACCTATTATCCCTGGACGATCGTAAGTTATAGGCTAACTGGATGATACATACATACTGTCTTAACATACTCTCCTTCCCAAAAAGCTTTTTTTTTTTATGTGCCAAGAGTGGGGAGAATCTTACCTCTCTTCATTAAGTTATATAGCAAGAAAAACTTGCTGTTGAACTTATATGATAATTTAAATATTGATAATAACATTTTTCTATTGGTTACTATTTGAGACAAGGTTAGAAGAGTATGTTGTGGAGCCAGTTAGATGGCACAGTGTGAAGGGCACTTGTGAGTAGAGCTCCATTTCCTGGAGCCCACATGAAGGTAGAAAGAGAACACTAATGCCACAAAATTGTGCTGTGGCCTTCACAAATGTATGTGTTCCCATGAACATGAACATTCTAGGCACGTGCTCATAGGAGCTACACTTCTAGTAGCTCTTTTCTTGTCAAATTTATTTGGTTCTGAATGATATTAATATGGTTACTTATTTTATCACAGTATATCTTAGAATATTCAAAATATTCCCCCCCCTCTCTCTCTGTGTGTAAGGTAGGTACCTAAGCATGTTTACCTCAGCACACAAGGTCAAAAGTTGATGGTGTGTTCTTTAGCTCTCTGCCTAATTTTTTGTGGTCTCCAGCAGAAACTGATGCTTACATCCCAGGATCCTCCTGTTTCTGTCTTCAGTGCTCAGCTACAGGTGTCACATCTGGCTCTTCCATGAGTGCTGAGCTCCGAACTCAGGTCTTGGTGTTCACACACAGCAAGTACCTTACTCCCTGAGCCATCCCCCAAGTCCTCTTCTGTTGGTGACATGGTCTTAACTCTATAGCCTAGGATTAATTCAGATGCATGGAAATCCTCCTGCCTTACATATGCCAGAATTAATAGATATCATGACCACACCCAACTTAAAATATTTTCTGTAATACCATATTATTGATTTGTAGTTAGGTATAGTTAGTTGCTTCTGTTATTTTGATAGTCAGAAATTTGGGTATTTTTTTATAACTTTTAACCATATAAAATAGCAACTTAAGTTGTCAAGCTTGGTGTCATGTCCATTTACCCAATGACCCATCTTGCCTGGTAGATTTTTGTTAATTTTTAAGATATAGCCAAGTCTGGCCTTGAACTGACTGGGCTCAGACTCATCGCTGTACTCCTGCCTCAGCCTCCCAAGTGTTGAATTATAGTCATGTACCTCTATGTTCCACTTAACAGAGATGGCTTAGTGTTGAAAACGCTTATTACTCTTTCAGAGTACCTTAGTTTTTTTCTCAGCACCCATTTTGGGAGGCTTACAACAGCTTGTAGCTCTTGCTCCAGGAAATCTTCTGGCTTGTGTGAGTACCTGCATTAGTGATTCACATGTGCATTTGTGTGTGTGAGAGAGAAGAGAGATGTAGTCAATTTGTTGGATTATAATGTGAAATTAAAATGTTATAAGATTTGCTCTCTCTGAAACCTTTTTCTTATTCAAATTTTAGGACCCTTCAAAACTGTACAAGAAAGCAGGTGATGCTTCAGCCATGGAATGCCAATCTGAAGAAAGCGTCCATCTTCATTCACAGGGAGAAAATAATCCTTTGTCTAAGAAGCTTTCTCCGGAACATTCACAAATGGCGGATTACATTAATTCAGCACCATCTCTTGCTGGCGGACGGGATCCTGATGTAAAAGACAGAGCATTACTTAATGGAGGAACTAGTGTAACAGAGAAGTTGGCACAGCTCATTGCTACCTGTCCTCCTTCCAAGTCTTCCAAGACAAAACCGAAGAAGTTAGGAACTGGCACTACAGTAGGATTGGTTAGCAAGGACTTAATCAGAAAACCAGGTGTTGGCTCTATAGCTGGAATAATTCATAAGGACTTAATTAAAAAGCCAGCTCTTAGCACAGCAGTTGGGTTGGTAACTAAAGATTCAGGGAAAAAGCCTATGTTCAATGCAGCGGTAGGATTGATTAGTAAGGACTCTGTGAAAAAATTGGGAACTGGCACTACAACAGTATTCATTAATAAAGACTTAGGCAAAAAGCCAGGGACTATCACTACAGTAGGACTGCTGAGCAAAGATGCAGGAAAGAAGCTAGGAATTGGTATTGTTCCAGGTTTAGTGAATAAAGAGTCTGGCAAGAAATTAGGACTTGGCACTGTAGTTGGACTGGTTAATAAAGAGTTGGGAAAGAAATTGAGTTCTACAGTTGGCCTAGTGGCCAAGGATGTTACGAAGAAGATTGTAGCGAGTTCAGCAATGGGACTGGTTAATAAGGACATTGGAAAGAAATTAGTAAGTTGTCCTCTGGCAGGACTAGGCAATAAAGATGCCTTAAACCTTAAAACTGAAGCACTGCTTCCCACTCAGGAACAACTTAAGGCTTCTTGTAGTGCAAACATCAATAATCATGAAAGTCAAGAACTTCCTGAGTCTCTGAAAGACAGTGCCACCATCAAAACTTTCGAGAAGAATATTCTGCGGCATAGTAAAGAAAGCATGTTGGAAAAGTTTTCAGTCCGAAAAGAAATTACTAATTTGGAGAAAGAAATGTATAATGAAGGAACGTGCATTCAGCAAGACAATTTCTCATCTAATGAAAGGGGAGTCTTTGAGACCTCAAAGCATGAAAAACAACCTCCTGTCTATTGCACTTCTCCAGACTTTCAGATGGGAGTTGCCTCTGATGCGTCTACAGCTAAGTCTCCCTTTGGTGCAGTAGGAGAAAGCAATCTTCCTTCCCCTACACCTACTGTATCTATTAATCCTTTAACCAGAAGTCCCCCCGAAACTTCTTCACAGTTGGCTCCAAACCCGTTACTTTTAAATTCTACAGCAGAACAAATGGAAGAAATTTCTGAATCTATTGGAAAGAACCAGTTTACTGCTGAAAGTTCTCACTTGAATGTTGGTCATAGGCCATTAAGTCATAGCATAAGTATTGAGTGTAAAGGAATTGATAAGGAAATCAGTGAATCAAAAAATACACATCTAGATATTCCTAGAATAAGTTCTTCCTTGGGGAAAAAGCCAAGTTTGGCTTCTGACTCTGGTATTCACACAATAACTCCTTCAGTTGTTAACTTTACTAGTTTATTTAGTAACAAACCCTTTTTAAAGCTTGGTGCAGTAGCTGCATCAGACAAACACTGCCAAGTTGCGGAAAGCCTGAGCACTAGTTTCCAGTCCAAACCATTAAAAAAAAGGAAAGGAAGAAAACCTCGGTGGACTAAAGTGGTGGCAAGAAGCACATGTCGGTCTCCAAAAGGACTAGATTTAGAAAGATCCGAGCTGTTTAAAAATGTTTCATGTAGCTCACTATCAAATAGTTCTGAGCCAGCTAAGTTTATGAAAAATATAGGAGCATCGTCTTTTGTTGATCACGACTTTCTTAAACGCCGATTGCCAAAATTGAGTAAGTCTACAGCTCCATCTCTTGCTCTCTTAACTGACAGTGAAAAACCATCTCATAAATCTTTTATTGCTCACAAACTTTCCTCCAGTATGTGTGTCACTAGTGATCTTTTGTCGGATATTTATAAACCCAAAAGAGGAAGACCTAAATCCAAGGAAATGCCTCAACTAGACGGTCCACCTAAAAGGACTTTGAAAATACCTGCCTCTAAAGTTTTTTCTTTACAGTCTAAAGAAGAACAAGAACCCCCAATTTTACAGCCAGAAATTGAAATTCCTTCCTTCAAACAAAGTTTGTCTGTATCTCCTTTTCCAAAAAAGAGAGGCAGGCCTAAGAGGCAGATGAGATCTCCAGTGAAGATGAAGCCACCTGTACTATCAGTGGCTCCATTTGTTGCCACTGAAAGTCCGAGTAAGCTAGAGTCTGAAAGTGAAAACCACAGAAGTAGCAGTGATTTCTTTGAGAGTGAGGATCAGCTTCAGGATACAGATGACTTAGATGACAGTCATAGGCAAAGTGTCTGTAGTATGAGTGACCTTGAGATGGAACCAGAAAAAAAAATTAGCAAGCGAAACAATGGACAATTAATGAAAACAATTATTCGCAAAATAAATAAAATGAAGACTTTAAAGAGAAAAAAACTGTTGAATCAGATTCTTTCAAGTTCTGTAGAATCAAGTAATAAAGGAAAAGTACAATCCAAACTTCATAATACAGTATCAAGTCTTGCTGCCACATTTGGCTCTAAATTGGGCCAACAAATAAATGTCAGTAAGAAAGGAACCATTTATATAGGGAAGAGGAGGGGTCGGAAACCAAAAACTGTCTTAAATGGCCTTCTTTCTGGTAGCCCTGCCAGCCTTGCTGTGCTTGAACAAACAGCTCAGCAGGCAGCTGGGTCAGCACTAGGACAGATCCTTCCCCCCTTACTGCCTTCACCTGCTAGTAGCTCAGAGATCCTTCCATCCCCTGTTTGCTCTCAGTCTTCTGGGACTAGTGGAGGTCAGAGTCCTGTTAGTAGTGACGCAGGCTTTGTTGAACCTAGTTCAGTGCCATATTTGCATATGCACTCCAGACAGGGCAGTATGATTCAGACTCTTGCAATGAAGAAAGCTTCCAAGGGGAGGAGGCGATTATCTCCTCCTACTTTGTTGCCAAATTCTCCTTCTCATTTGAGTGAACTCACATCTTTGAAAGAAGCTACTCCTTCCCCAGTTAGTGAATCTCATAGTGATGAGACTATTCCCAGTGATAGTGGCATTGGGACAGATAATAACAGCACATCAGACAGGGCAGAGAAGTTTTGTGGACAGAAAAAGAGGAGACATTCTTTTGAACACATTTCTCTGATTCCCCCTGAAACGTCTACTGTCCTAAACAGTCTTAAAGAAAAACATAAACACAAGTGTAAGCGCAGGAGTCACGATTATCTCAGCTATGATAAAATGAAAAGACAGAAACGAAAACGGAAAAAGAAATATCCCCAGCTTCGCAGTAGGCAGGATCCAGACTTTATCGCAGAGCTAGAGGAGCTAATAAGTCGTCTAAGTGAAATCCGGATCACCCATCGCAGTCATCATTTCATTCCCCGAGACCTCCTGCCCACTATCTTTCGAATCAACTTTAATAGTTTCTATACACATCCTTCTTTTCCTTTAGACCCTTTGCACTACATTCGGAAGCCTGATTTAAAAAAGAAAAGAGGAAGGCCCCCTAAGATGAGGGAGGCAGTGGCAGAAATGCCTTTTATGCACAGCCTTAGTTTTCCTTTATCTAGTACTGGATTTTATCCTTCCTATGGCATGCCTTATTCTCCTTCACCCCTTACAGCTGCTCCAATAGGGTTAGGTTATTATGGAAGGTATCCCCCCACTCTTTATCCACCACCTCCATCTCCATCATTCAGCACTCCACTGCCACCTCCTTCCTATATGCATGCTGGTCATTTATTGCTCAATCCTACCAAATACCATAAGAAAAAGCATAAGCTCCTTAGACAGGAGGCATTTCTCACAACCAGCAGGACGCCCCTCCTTTCCATGAGCACCTACCCCAGCGTACCTCCAGAGATGGCTTATGGTTGGATGGTGGAGCATAAACACAGACACCGTCACAAACACAGAGAGCACCGTTCTGAGCAACCCCAGGTTTCCATGGACTCTGGCTCTTCCAGATCTGTCTTGGAATCTTTGAAGCGTTACCGGTTTGGAAAGGATACTGTTGGAGATAGATATAAGCATAAGGAAAAGCACAGGTGCCACATGTCCTGCCCTCATCTCTCTCCTTCAAAGAGCTTAATAAACAGAGAAGAACAGTGGGTTTCTCGAGAGCCTTCAGAATCCAGTTCTTTAGCCTTGGGATTGCAAACGCCTTTACAGATTGACTGCTCGGAAAGTTCCCCAAGTTTGTCCCTTGGAGGATTTACTCCCAGTTCTGAGCCAGCTAGCAGTGATGAACATATGAACCTTTTTACAAGTGCAATAGGCAACTGCAGAGTTTCAAACCCTAACTCCAATTGCCGCAAGAAATTAACTGACAGCCCTGGACTCTTTCCTGTGCAAGATACTGCCCTGAATCGGCCTCTCAGAAAGGAAGCCCTGCCTTCCAGTGAAAGGGCAATTCAAACATTGGCAGGTAAGAGGGGTATTTTGTTGTCTATTATTTGTGTTACAGGAATAAATTATTTTCCCACTGCTTTCTTGATCCATGTACTTGACCGTTTTCATAAATTTATGCTTTATTTTTGTTTCTATATATTTTGAAATCCTCAAAGTTTCTATTTTACTTAGATGTAAAAAGTGAGGAATATCTTTGTTCTACGTTTTATTTATTATTTGAGAAGCATCCTTTAAAAAAAAAAAGACTTTGGAAACCAGGAAAAAATGCTCCAACTCTTTACACAAATGCTTGTGCTTCGTACCTTAATCAAGAAATGGCCCAGACTCTTGTGAGCGGTAGGTAGCACTTACTGTATGGTAGTCAGGTAATTGCAAGTGTGTCTGTGTTCCACAGAATACCCATGTCTCAGTAGAGGAAAACTTTTGAGGACTAATTTTTTTCCCCCAAGACAGTGTAACAGTCCTGGCTGTCCTGGAACTCACTTTGTAGACCAGGCTGGCCTCAAACTCACAGAGATCCGTCTGCCTCTGCCTCCCAAGTGCTGGGATTAAAAGTGTGCGTCACCATCAGGTTTCAGGACTAATATTGGACTGAATATTCAGAGAGGCTTTATGTTCCAGATTACTTTTAGGTATCTTCATCAAAGTTATTTCAATTAGATATAAAAAGACATGAACCATACCTAAATCATTCTCTTAGAAAAATGTTTTTTGATACGAGAGAAGATAGAAATAAAACTGAAGTCATTGCTTATGCAAATAAAGGATATGCATACCTTAGCAATTACTATAATCTTTAAAGGGTTTGTAAATTTAACTATAAAGTCTGATGCTGTAAGTAAATTTTATATGTGTATTTCTGTCTGATTTTCTAGAGATAACTCCGGGCAGGAACATTAGAGCTGAGTGATACTGTAATGCTCACCATAGTGGGGAAAGAGCCATTCATTTCTATCCTTATTCTTTTAAAAGGGTAAAAATGTGTATATTGGAGAGGAAAAAGACCCCTCAGGGACAAGTAGGTTATTTTCTAATTTTTTTTTATTCAATGAACTTTGAAAAATCAAAATCTGTGTTAGTAGATAAGGTAAATTTACTTCTTGAAAATGTAGACCCAAAGGGGACTGGAGCAGTTGCTCACCACTTTAGACCAATAGCTGTTCTTACAGAGGGTCAAGGTTTGATTTGTAGCCCCCTATATAATGATTCTCTTTGTAGCTCCAGTTCCAGGGCATCTGACAACCTCTTCTCCATAGGCACCAACCATGCAAATGGTGCACAGACCTACATGCAGGACAAACACTCACATACCTAAAAGTAAAATAAAATTTTGTTTTGTTCTATTTTGAGGCCTTTATGTACCCCTGGCTGTCTTTGAAGTGTGTAGACCAGGCTGGCCTTACTCAAAGAGTACCCACCTTCCTCTTCCTCCCAGTGCTGGGATCAAAGGTGTTCACCATTACCACACCCTTGGTAAAATATTTGTTTGTTGTTATCTGTCTTTTGAGGCAGGGTCTCACTACGTAGCTCTGGCTGTCCAGGAACAAAAGCACTAAGTGCATCTGCTTGAGCTGAAAATCATAGAGAACCCATCCTCCTCTGACGAGTGTTGGGATCAAAGGTGTGCACCACCAGGCCACCTGGCTTCCTTTTATTTTTTAACCCCCAGGAAGATTTTTGTTTCTTTGTTTTTAATTTCTTGTTAGATTACTTTTTTTGGTTTTTCGAGACAGGGTTTCTCTGTACCTTTGGAGCCTGTCTGGAACTAGCTCTTGTAGACCAGGCTGGCCTCGAACTGACAGAGATCCGCCTGCCTCTGCCTTCCGAGTGCTGGGATTAAAAGTGTGTGCCACCTCCCGGCTTAGATTACTTTATTGTACATCTACATCTCATCCAATCTTTTTGTTTTAATGTGGAGTAAAATACTTCTGTAACTTGTTTTATTTGACAGGTGGTTTTTTTTTGGTTTGTTTTTTGTTTTTTTTTTTTTTTTTATAAAATCTTAACCAATGCTGCTTTTTTGTTTTCTTGAGTTTGTTTTTGTTTTTGTTTTTCTAGAGGCAAGTTTTCTCTGTGTACTCCTGGCTGCTCCAGAACTTTCTCTGTAGACCAGGCTGGCCTCGAACTCACAGAGATCCACAGAGATCCGCCCTGCCTCTGCCTCCCAAGTGCTGGGATTAAAGGCGTGCACCACTACTGCCTGGCCACCAATGCTAGTTTTTGGATATCAATTATTTGCTAGGTGTTGTACTTTGGGAGCCCTTGTTTAGAATAGGGATTGGGATGTACGTTTCATTTTTCTGTGGAAGAGAAGGATAATAACAGAAATTCTACCCAGTTTCCCTATTGTGAAGTTGGGTGTCATGGTGCACGACTGTAATCCTAGTGCTTGGGAAATAGCAACAGGAAGATTACACGTTAGCAAATTCCCAACCAGGCAGGGCTGTATTGTATGAGCTTATCTTCAAAGTACAAGAAAAGAGGAAATTTTGTTTTTTTGTAATAAAATGTACAAAAGAGGTATTATAGGATTCTATAAAATGAGGGGTCTTTCAGAGAATGACTTGTTGAGAAAAAGACGTAAGATAAAATTGGACACTCAGCATGAACGTCTCACTGGAGAAACAGAACACTGTACATTCATTTATTCATTAATTTTCTCATTCATTGGTTTATTTCCAAAACTTCAGCACTGTTGTAGTTATTGGCATGTGATATTGAACAAAGACCTGATGCCTGACTTCTTGTCTTTGTCAGTGCAGGGAAGGAAGTCAGACAGTACGGGCAAGCAGATGCAGAAGGACATAATTGAGAGAAGCGTGTGTTGTTACTACAGAATGGTTAGAGAGAGAAAAGGTGATGGGAGAGAACTACCTCCCTATACAGTTAGCACAGCCTAAGGGTAAAAAGAGTTGGGATGAGCAACCAGGGTGAAAAGTATATTTTGAACATCCTGAACTGGAAAGTAACTCAAACACAACTTTAAAAAAAAAAAATTCTTGCTACAAGAAGAAAGAATTTGGGAGATTGTAGCTCAGTGGTAGAGTACTTGCCTAACATGTATAAAACTTAAGGCTCTTTGTCCCCAAAGTCAAAGATTTAAAGCAGAAGGATAATCGGTCCTTGTAATATAGGACAGCAGAGTGAAATTGGTGGATTAGCAGAGGAAGTCTGATCTGTTTGCAGACCCTGCCAGCAGAGGGTTGAAAGGTACACAGTAAAAGAACTCCTTCCAGAGGAAGAGAAAGGACGAGAAACAGCGTTTCAAAATACCTCTTTGGGGCGCACTTAGTTGAATGGTAATATGATTATGGGAAATTAGGTATTATGCAAAGGAAACAGAGAAAGAAAAAAGTTTTAGGGAAGTTGGAGATGTGACTCAGTGGTTAACCGCACTGACAGTTTTTGCAGAGGACCCAGGTTTAGTTCCCAGCACCCACATGTTAGCACACAATTGTCTGTAACTCCAGTTCTGGAAGATCTCATATTCTGTTTGACTTCTTAGGGCACCATCCATGTGTGTGGTGTACATGCATGCATGTGGGCAAACACTAATACACATACAAATAGTTGTTTTTTAAAAACTAAAAGGAGGCCAGGCGATGGTGGCACACGCCTTTAATCCCAGCACTCGGGAGGCAGAGGCAGGCGGATCTCTGTGAGTTCGAGGCCAGCCTGGTCTACAGAGCTAGTTCCAGGACAGGCTCCAAAGCCACAGAGAAACCCTGTCTAGAAAAAAACTA